GAACCTCTGTAGCTCCGGCTCCAGAATCCCAAGGGTCGACCTCGAGTCTCCCCTGGTGCTTTCTGCCAGAGGCTCCAGCTAGGACCGTTGTGTCCATCTGCAGTGTAGAGCACATTTTTTGTCTGGCCCTGTTCGAACTGGTCCAAGGGCCACTGCCTGCACAATCTCCTTTTTAATCTGCTCAAAAGCTTTCTGTTGATCAGGACCCCATTTAAAGTCACTCTTCTTTCAGGTCACCTCATAGAGAGGTTTCACAATTTCACTGTAACACGGAATATGCATTCTCCAGACACCAACAGTCCCTAAAAAGGTTTCAGTGTCCTTTTTGGTAGATGCTGGGGCCATAGCTGTTAATTTGTTAATCACATCCATTGGGATATGGCGATGACCATCTTGCCACCTGATTTCCAGGAACTGGATCTCTTGTGATGGTCCCTTGACCCTGCATCTTTTTACAGCAAAACCAGCATCCAGAAGAATTTGGATGATATTTTTACCTTTCTCAAAAGCTTCTTCTGGCATATCACCCCACAGAATGATGTTGTCAATGTACTGCATGTGTTCTGGAGCTCCACCCTTCTCCAGTGCAGCGTGGATCAGTCCATGGCAAATGTTTGAGCTGTGTTTCCACCCCTGGGGCAGTTGATTCCAGGTGTACTGGACTCCCCTCCAGGTGAAAGCAAACTGTGGCCTGCACTCTGGTGCTATAGGAATAGAGAAGAATGCATGAGCAATGTCAATAGTGGCATACCACCTGGCTGCTTTCGACTCCAGCTCATACTGAAATTCTAGCATGTCTGGCACAGCAACACTGAGCAGTGGTGTCACCTCATTCAGGCCACAATAGTCCACTGTCAGCCTCCACTTGCCATCAGGCTTTTGTACTGGCCAGATAGGACTGTTGAAGGGTAAGTCCTGCTAATCAGTCCCTGGCTTTCCAATTGCTGGATCAGCTTATGAAAAACATTCCACTGTTATCAGTATTAGTTGGAATTCTCTTCTGCTGGTTAAAAGAAAGGTCACTGAAGGAAAAAAAAATTGTAAAGGAAAAATTGGCTTCATCCTGGCTCAAACCAGGCCAATAACATAGTTTCCCTCTTTAAACCACAGAGGTTTTTAAAGGATTTTGGTACTTTGGGGTATCTCTTCCCTTTCCTGCCTCTTAGATGTACTGCATGCATAGTGGAACTTCTTCAGGTGGCAAGTGAATTTCTTTGCTTCTAGTTGTGTTTCTGAGATGCAGAAAAGGCCACTCATTTTGTAGGGGCATGATGTAATTTGGTAGCGTTCATTCTGCCTTGCTGGGTGATTGAAATGCCACATGTGTTTAAGGTACTGCACTTTGCCTTTGCTTCCATCTGAAAACACTGGGAATCTGGTTACAAAGTAATAAATTCCTTTTTTTAATTTTTTTTTTAGGTACTGAGAAGTTTAGTGTCTCCTCAGTGCCCTAAAGTAATGCTTGAGTTTGAAAATAAATAAGTAAGCAAGTAAGCCCAAGATAACTATTCTATAAGGCTTTCCAATATACCCCATCTTCTGTTTTGTTTTCTACATTGCAATAAACATAGTTCTTTTGTCTTGTGCAGTGCTGAATGCATTGATGCTTAATAATGCAAACCAGTTGTGATGCCATTCAGAGGGACCTGGACAAGCTAGAGAAGTGGACCCATGTGAACCTCATGAGATTCAACAAGATCAAGTGCAAAGTCCTGCACCTGAGTTTAGGCAACTCCCAGTATCAATACAGGCTGTGGGATGAAGGGATTGAGAGCAAAAAAAGGACTTTGGGATATTGGTGGATAAAAAACAACATGAGCTGGCAATATGTGCTTGTGGCCCAGAAAGTCAACTGGATCCTGGGCTGCATTGGCCAGCAGGTTGAGGGAGATGATTCTGGCCATCCTCTACTTTGCTCTGGTGAGAGCCCACCTCAAGTAATGTGTCCAGCTCTGGAGTCCTCAGCACAAGAAAGACATGGACCTATTGGAGCAGATCCAGAGAGGGCTGCTAAGATAATCAGTGGGCTGGAGCACCTCTCCTATGAGGACAGGCTGAGAGAGTTAGGGTGGTTCAGCCTGGAGAAGAGAAGGCTCCAGGGAGAACTTATTGCGGCCTTGAAATACTTAAAAGTTAGACATTAGGAAGAAATTCTTCACTATGAGGGCAGCAAGACACTGGAACAGATTGCCCAGGGAATTTGTGGATGTCCTCTTCCTGGAAGCGTTCAAGGACAGGTTGGATGGGGCTCTGAGCAACCTGGTCTAGTGGGAGGTGTCCCTGCTCATTGCAGGGGGGATGGACTACGTGGCTTTTAAAGGTCCCTTCCAACCCAAACCATTCTATGATTCTGTTCTATAATTTGACTCTGTTTAGGGAGTGAAGCATGTTGAACAGTGTGTCTAAAGAGTGACATATGATTTTATTTTAAAAATGAGTTTTTAAAAACAGTATTGGCTTTATTCACTTCCATGGCAAGTTTTGGACACAAAAAAAAAATCCAACACACAACCAAAAAACCCAAAACAAAACCCCTAAAACCCCACAAACAAAAAACTCAATAAAACAGCATGCTCTACTGTATGTAACTACTGTGCAGTAATAATATGCATTAGTGTAGTGTCTCTCTGGTGTTCTGCACTGTACCATACCTTATTTTGTTCTGGTTTTCGGATTCCTTTGATATTACTTCCCCATGTTGACCCAAATAGCAGCACACTTGCAACCTTAATGATCAAACTGTTTTCTCTGGCTCCTGTGCTGTGGCATACTGACATACTGAATTACTTTAGGAATTAATGTAACGTGATGACCTGATCTCTGGGTATCCATTTTGCATTCTTACTTAGCAAAGGAATACTTGAATATGAGAATTCTATTATCTTGGAAGAGCCAGACACATTTTTATTATTTTTTGTTGGGTTTTTTAGCCTGTCATGAAGATTGCATAGTTTAAGCATATTCTTTAAACCTCTTGTAGTGTATAAGGCATGTTCTTAATGAGCAAATGAACTGTTGCTAAACAGTACTTTCAGATGTCTTCATGCTCCTGTCAAAATTCATGCTGATGAAGAGACAGCTGTTTTAGAGAAAAATATTTCCATTTAAAAATTGTTGTTACAGATCCTGATGTATTTAAGCCTGCCTTGCTATATAGTGTCAGGGAGCAGGTTCTAAAGTGACAGTATATGTGAAATGTCAGTGTAAATTAGCTTTCCCTTCAAAATCTGGAAACAGAAAATGTAAAACAAATTTTTTAGTGTAACCAAATTTCTAAAGTAGTAGCAGTAAAAAGATCTTATTAGATTGCATAAAATCAGCATTTACTGCATCTCTGAGGTCCAAATGTATTTGGGAATGAGTTATATGATCAACAGTACTTTGGCTGGGTTTTAAGTGTGGAAGTATATGTTTACAAAATCATGTTTTACTAATGGACTTGTTTGGTTCCTGTAATGTGAAGCTGGAAGATACATAGTTCTTGTTTGTAGAAAACAACATTTTCTTCTGGTACAAAAATTAGAAGAAAAACTTTAGTAATTTCCTGTGAGAAACATTTGTCATGCCAATTAACAGGCCCACACAGATCCTTCAACGAACCACAGTTTATTTACATTCTTGCAAGAAAGGGTGACCTAAACAAGTAGGCACACCCATAGTAAGGTGAATAACGGTTTATATTCCCTATTCCAGATGCCAAGTTCCCTCCCCTGTTTCCCCACTGGCTGGGTACTCCAGGGTTTACAGCCTATCCGACGCTTCAAATTATCCTATAAGTTTCCCGCCCCTGTTTACACATTCCATTCTAGCAGTTTACTTTTTACCTTTTAAGGTAAAATTTTGACCTTTCTTGCCCCCTTGGCTGTCTTCCCAATTAACAAATCTACTGGTGTCATCCTGCCCTGAGAGCAAGATAGAAGTGGCTTTGTTCGGTCTTATCTTGGGCCATAAATCCTTCTCCATGTTTGGATCCCCAGATGGAGCCCAATTCACTCCCTCAGTTTCTTGGGCCATAAAACACTCCTGGTGTCCTTAGAATGTGCAGATATCTCACTTATCTCAAACAAACTATATATTTAAACCACTAGGATATACATATATATAAACCAAACCCGACACTATGTTTCTAACACTAGAATGCAAAATCAACACTACATTTCATTTCTAACATTTCCTGCTGCAACTTTATGTAAATTATTGTTTGCTTTTGATTGATGTTCCTGTCTGATGGGCCATACATTATGAACTATGGATCTTCTAATACAAAAGACCCACTTAATGCCTTTTAATTGAGAAGGTTGGCTTGATATGGTCTTTCAACTGCTTCAGATGGGCCACACCAGCTCCAAGATTCTGCATCAAAAATTCAGTCTCCCTGGTGTTAAGTGTTATAGTATAGAAGTTTGCCGTTAGTCATTGGTTGCTTGATTTTAATAGAAACCATAATTTAGCTTTTTGTTTTTTTAAATCAGGTGCTCTGTGGATGTGTATAGTATTAAATCCCCACTGCAAGTTGGAGCAGAAGACTAGTTGGCTAAAACAGCTGAAAAAATGGAACTGTGTGGATGTTTGTCCCTGGGAAGATGGAAACCATGGAAATGAGCTGCCCAGTTTTACCAATGCTTTGCCTCAGGGTGCAAATGCTAACCAAGGTGAGCCTAAATATATACACTGACTGCAACAAATAACATAGCCTCTATCTTATATACTCTAGCC